GAAGAGCTTTCTATCTACAGGGTTTGAATGAGATCATACTTATGAATTACATATATAATAAAAAAAAATGCTTTTAAAATATTTTTAAAAGGAGAAAAGGAAAGGTTTATTAAATATAAACAGACTTCAAATGCCATGCCCAAGGCAAGATACAGCAGTCCATTGCCGACCCCTGAGAGAAATATAGCTCAATCTAGTAATTGTATCAAGAGAAAATTATTTTAATAAAATTCCTGGCCATCCCTGGTGGTGCAACGGGTTAAAGCGCAGCATTGAGAAGCTAGCTGCAGCTGCTTCAGCACATCCCTGGCCAGGGAGCTGATCCACATGGCGCAGCAGACCTCTCCTGTCTCGCCTGTTGTCCCCTCAGCAGTGAACTTCGTCAGTCTGCCTATTCTGCTCCCTACACTGTCTCTGGTGAATGCTCTTACTGACCCTGCACCTCTGGTCTGTACCCCAGTTTGGTATGCATAAATAAATATTTAGAGATAAAAAAATTAAATTCCTACTAGCTTCCTAAGTGTTCAGAAGCCATGTGTTTTATTTTTTAAAGATTTATTTATTTATGCATACCGAACTGGGGCACAGGCCAGAGATGCAGGGAGGTGAAAGGATTCACCAGAGACAAAGTGGGGAGCAGAAAAGGGAGACATACTAAAGTACACAGCTGAGGCGAACAATGGGTGGGTCAGGAGAGGTCTGCTGTGCCATGTGGGTCACCTCCTGGCTGGGGATCCAAACTCATGGCTTCAGAGGACCCCAAAACCCACGTGTTTTAAATTGTGTTTTCTAAATTCACCACAGAGGCACACCACACCACTAGTCTGTAGTTTTTGCAATGCCTTATTTCCACCTTTGATGAGGTGCCTGATTCACTTTCTGGTCACCCCTCCACTTTTTACAGATGACCACAGTGGTGCTCAGCTACCTCTGCAACCCTTCCCCACCACCCACTCAGGGTAGTTTTCATCTGGGCCTGAAGGTTAGTATACACCTAAAACTGCAAGAACTCTTTTTACCTCACCAAAACAGTTTCAGTTTTATTTTTCCAGTGTTACTTATATTTTTTCTGGCTTGAAGGACATTTTTCCGGAGGGGAGAAGCCAGGTGCCCGCCAAGGGCTTCTGCTCTGCTTTCCTGCTGCCCTACTAATAGTAGACTTCCACTGATAAGCAGCGGGCCTTCTGGCGTCTTGTTCACAACATTGTTCTGAACAATGCTAAGACATCAAAGTTACGTTTGGTGTCTTTCTCAGCCTCAAATTATTTTGGCTGTCACACTGCACACTCTTCTGGAAGGGAGTCATAGGGACCTGCACCCTCCCTTTCCATTGCTTTTATGCAGCTTTCAAAGGCTGAGCTCATGAGGAAGTTCCCAATGAGCTGCACTTGGAAAAGTCGAGCACCTTTCCTACGCTGGAATTATTTATGATGTTCAAAAGGCACTTCAGGCAAATGGAAGAGGAGCCACGACCAGATTCTGCCATGCCAAGGAAACGGCCTTATGTTCTCTTTTGGAACTTCAGTAGCTAAGCTTTCTTAGGGGCAACATAAGCCCCCAATGAGTCATTTTATGAAAAGGTCCAGATTAGAGATGAACATGGGGTACTATGGGAAAAAAGAGGGCTGAGTACCTTATTGGCTCTTACAAAAGGGGAGAAAAAAGAAACACATTTGTTTTACCTCATCAAGATCTTTAGTCTCTCTGCCCAGTTCATCATCATCTTCATCAGAATCCAGTTCTGGTCCAATGTAATTCCCAAACTCATCATATAAGTCTGTATCCATGATGCTAAAATTCAAGAAGAGAAGTGTTAGACTCTGGCAAGGTGATCGAGGCCTCTACATGACCCCTGCTTTATGGCTGACCATATCCAAATCTCCTCTCCAATTACATCAGACGGACCACCCTCAAGTCTTATACTTTTCATTCCTCTGTTCTACTCACTATTCATAGACTCTTTTCTCATTTTTTTAATACTAAAAATTTTTTAAAAAAAGATTTATTTATGCATACAAAAACTGAGGTGTAGGCCAGAGGTGTAATGAGTCAGAGGAGTGATAAGGAGAGACAGACTGGGGAGCAAAACAGGCAGATGGTCTGAAATATACTGCTGAGGGGAGCAGTGGGGAGACAGGAGAGGTCTGCTGCACCATGTTGGTCAGCTCCCTGGCCAGGCATCAAACCCATGTTGCAGTGGCTGAGGATAGCTTCATAGTGCTGAGATTTAACCCCTTGTGCTACCATGAAGGCCCTAGTACTAAAAAAAAAAAAAAAATTAATAACAGAAACAGAAAGTTGTAATAACAGTACACATAATTCTTTTATGTACTTAATACACCCTAATACTGCAGGAATCGGTAGACTAGGGCCTTTGGTTAAATCCAACTGTTTGTTTTCACTCAGCCCTCAAACTAAGAATACCTTATATATTTTTAAATAGTTGAAAAAAAGTCAAAGTACACAAGAATAATGCAATTAAAATTCCAGTGTCCCTGAAAACAACTTTATTGAAATACAGCTGTGCTTGTTCATTTATATACTCAGTGGCTGCTAGCTCACTCTAACACTGCAACAGCAGAGATGAGTAGCTGCAACTGAGACCATGAGGCCCACAAAGTCTAAAATATTTACTAGAAGTTCCTTAGTAAAAAGTCCGCCTACCTGTGCTCATCTGTTTGTGCGTGTGATTTCTATAATTAAGAACATTCTCTTACATAATCATAATACAATCACAAAATGATAACGACCCAGTATGAACAGCCAATGCAGACTTCCATCAAGCCTCACAAACTGTTCCAATGATGTCCTGACTGCAAAGGATCCAATCCAGGATCATTCAGCTGTCCCTTCAGTCACTTTCCATCTAGAACTGATCCTTAATCTTTCCCTGGCTTTTATGAATTGACGCTCTTGAAGTTCACAGGCTAGTTAAGTGAGCAGATGTCCCTTAATGTGGGTTTGTCTGATATCCCTCATGATTAGATTCCGGTTACATTTCTTGGGGGAGTATCACAAAAGGGATGCTGTGTTCTTTTCAGTGCATCCCTCTTATCAGGTGGTCCATGATTTTAATTGAATCCACTGGTGGTGATGTTAACTCAACCCTTTGATTATGGTGATGTCTACTGGGCTTTTCCACTATAAAGTTACCTGTTTCCTCTTTTAATTTACAACCTATAGTGCCACTTCAATTATCGAAACTATTCAAAATGAGTGTTCAAATGCCACATCCTTTAAGCTTCCCTAGACTCTTAATTCCTCACTCCTCTTCTCTCCTATAGTCTTTTGCACCTTTATCACTTCTGATACGTCTTGAGCGGCAGTTAATTATACTAGTTACCCTTACCAACAAGTAATAAATAACAGGCCAGAGCATGGATTAAGGGCCTGGGTTTGGAGTTGGAAGACAGATTTGAGTGCTAACTTTGTCACTTAACAACTATAGAACATTCAGTAGGTTACTGCATCTCTTCAAATCTGTTTCTTAAATTAACCCCCATTGCATAAAAGGTCATGGGAGCAAAATAGTCTGTGTAAAGAGCTTATCACAGTCCCAGGTTTAATAAATGTTAGCAGGCATCGTTTGGGGGGACATTTTTGAATAAAGATACCCTATGTTCTTTGCGCTCAACGACCAGTGTCAGAACCTTGCAACAGAAGAAACTGAATACATGCTAACTGAATAGAATAGTTTAGGGAAACTGGTATTTCTTGCTACACACCTTCCACATCTCACAGTGCCACCTCTTCAGTGCTGATTGTAAATAGTGAATTGGGCGTTCTGAGGGCTAGTAACTAAATGCAAATTACTACAGAAACTTTCATTCGCACACTGTTTTTACTTCCAAAAAAGCTATCAGATCTGTGCTCACTTCATTCTCCCAAGATCCCAAGGGACTGCAGAAATGAGTGGAAGGCTGTCTGAGGAACAGACCAAGATCTTTTCCGCTTCAGGGGCAGTGTATCCGTTATCCTTCCTGAAATACACTTTCCTTTGGACATGTATTCTCTGTTCCTTCATTTCACTCAGGTCTCTACTAAAAATGTGTCACTTTCTCTGAGAAGCGTCCCTGCCCCTCTTAAAAAAAATAAGCCCCCACCACACAGGTTCTCCAGCCACCAGTGATAATAAAACTGTTTCGCAGTTTTATTATCACTAACCTTTACCACTAGTTAACATGTAAACTATTCATATGTCTACTGTGATCTCCACAATTTCAGAAAAGACTTTGTTTACTTAGGACAGAGCCTGGCATTTCTGAATGAGCCAACAAGACAGAGGAGAGGCGGACTTGCCCAGGGGCACACAACTACTGATTTTCAGGAACATTCCTCCTTGCAGGTTTCCGCGGTAGCGCGGGTTTTCAAAGGACCGCGGAGTAAGAACTGAGGGACTCGGCAGGCTCAGAGAGGTGGCGGTGGCATAGACAGAAGAGGCACGAGAGAGGGAAATGGACAGTAGGAGCACGCTCCCTGCCAAGGGAAGGGATTTCACGGATGAACAATATCGAGGGGACCCGGGAGTTGAGGGGTGAGAGGTGAAGGGGGAGGGGGAGTTCCTACAGCTCCCGCTCTACGAACTGCTTCCTCCAAATGAGATTTTGCTTATTTTCCCACACCGTCCGAAGCACCCTTCCCTACTCGTAGGCCCACGCCAGCTCACCTCCCGCCCGTTCAATCAAAAGCTCCAAGTCCGCCGCGCGAGACCGCGATTCCGCTCCACGCCGAGACACCGCCTGCGCCCGCCGTGTGGAAGGACCCCGCGACGCCGCCGTCGCGTTTCTGCCCGGAGGACAGCCCTCTGCCTCTGCCTGAGTACCAAATCGGGGGAACGAGGACCGCGGACCCAGGAGCCGACAAAGTGGGTCCCTAAACCTAGGCGAGAGCTGCTTCAAAGAGGCCGGAGAAGTCAAGAATTTGATCAGGCGCCTCGGACACCTGGAAAGGGGCCTTCAGTCCGATCACGTGACACGCTGTTGTCGCGTTTGCATGGCAACCACAGCTGTGGGGCAGTCTGTCCTGGCTTTTTAAGTGCTCCCCAAAGAAAACAAGGGAACCCAGGTCTGGGTTGTTGGGATGAAGGTCAGGGGTGAAGGTCGTGGGGCGGAAGGGTTAATTGTTCTATTTATTCAGTGACTGGGGAGGGGCCAGAATTGGACAGGATCCAGGACACCTGAGTTTAGTTCTTCACCAGACCAGTTCCCTTCTTGGTGTTCTGTTTTCCCACATCGGGGTAAAGGGGACAGGCCATAGGATTGGCTGCACATTTTTTACCTTAGGCCTTTGATGATGGCTCCACCACAAAATCTAGCTCAACACATCAGGAGAAATTCAAAGAGATCGCAGCAAGTAGATGTCAGAACCAAATCTAGAATTTAGGTGATCCCACCGCAGAAAAGGTCGGTTGACCTCAGATTTGAGGAGCAGGAGTGGTTGCCTACGTATTTAAGTCCCTGTGCACCAGCCCTGGACTGGACAGAGGAATTCGGGGACAGAGGTCATTGAGCCATTTCTACTTGCTACTTGATTGCTACCATTGCTACTTCTACTTGATTTCCTGCTCAGTGATTGAATCTGGTTTGGGCAAAAACTATGGTTCCCTATTAAAGACATTTAATGATCAGTGAAATTTACCTTGGACTCAAGGTAGCTAATAATAGTTCTGCTTGTATGTGAGATCCTCTATCACAACAACTTTTATAGAGTGAATCCAAATGGAAGATTGAAGGGACTGAACTCTGAGAGCCAAATGCCTCCTCACCCAAAGCACAAAAATAAAAATATGTCCAGAGGTAGAGAACAAAATTAAGACAAGGATCAAAACCGAAAGTAGGATTCTATTTTCAGTGACAACTCTTAAGCAAGTTCTTGCTTTACAACTCAGCTCATTTCCATAGCAAACCAGATTTTTCTAAGACCTCTACCAAAAGTGCTTTGGAGTTCTTTTGTGGCCTGGCAAAGAATTCAGATGGGCCCTTCTCCTTGATATTAACCCTTTGACTGATGTCCACTTCCTTGCCTTCCCAGACTCAGACCATGGAAAGGAAACACACCATTGACTTCAAGGCTTTAGAGAAAGAGCTGCAGGCTGCACTTGCTGCTGATGAGAAGTACAAACGGGAGAATGCTGCCAAGTTCCGGGCAGTGGAACAGAGGGTGGCTTCCTACGAGGAGTTCAGGTTAACAGTGCTGTTTTTCTCAGACCCTCCTGTTATGGTGCACCATAGTGGATGAGAGCATGTGCTTTGAAGTTGGACAATTCTGGCATCAGTCCTGGCCCTACCCTCACTATCTGTGTGCTCTTGTGCAAGTTATTTAAACTCTCTGAGCTTCTATTCTGCCTCTGTAAATGAGAATGACTGTCATAATTAAATGAAGTTTCTGAGCATAATGGCAGATACTCAATGGGAAGAACTCATAAGCTGTAAGCTAGTGTTGCTATTGTTATTGTTTTTATTATCATCATATTGTCCTGAAAAAAGTTTCAGTCTATAAGATGCAAGGCCCAGTCATCTTAAACCCACAGACAACATGAAGCGCTTCCCTCAATCTGAGCTTTGTCCACAGGGGAATTGTCCTTGCATCACATCTGAAGCCACTGGAGCGGAAGGACAAGATAGGAGGAACAATGGCTGTGCCCTGGAATTGTTACAGTACTCAGGGAAAGACCTCCCAGGATGAGATGACTGAAATCTCCCAGGTAGGTGAAGTCCAGCCTCTCCAGCCCAGCAGAACTTTGTGCTCTAAACCTCCAATCTTGACTTCTTTCAACACATACCTCTTCCTTACTTCTCACATTAAGCTGCAATCCCAGAGGGAAAAAAAAGCAGCTGATGATGAGGCTGAGTTGGAGCAAGTCAGAAAGGTGGGCCAGCCAGATCCCGTCAGTCAATCTGGGTTAGATTTGGTTTATTTTTGCCTCCAGGTTATATGGAATGGCTCTGTAATAATGTTGGGAGGGCGATCCAGGCTGTCATACTCTGAAAACTCACCTTGGGCTCCTTACTCTCTTCCTGAACTTTCTAATCATCCTCTCCACCCTGCTCAGAGTTCAGCCTGACTTACCTCTGTAAAGCAAGGTTGTGTCCACCTGCATCAGGAGGAAAATCCTGGTATAAGGGAGATTCTCAACTCATGGCCAGAATTCCTTGGGACCCTTTTCCCCTGTCCCACTCCTAAGTCCCCATCTGAAATTGAGGCCCAGAAGGATAGTTGCTTTCCCAGAGCTCAGAGTGCAGTACAGAGCTCAGATGAAAACCCACAGGCTCCCCTCAATCTCATCTCCCTCTCCTTCCCTGCAATCCAGGAGAAAACCCTCCTCCAGCCTGAGACCTCAGCAGAGTTCTACCGTGACTGGCGACGACATTTGCGGAGTGGACCAGAGCGCTACCAGGCCCTGGTACAACTCGGGGGTCCAAAGCTGGGCCGCCTCTTCCAGACAGATGTGGGGTTTGGACTCCTAGGGGAGCTACTGGTGGCCCTGGCTGATCATGTGAAGCCAACAGACCGGTCTGTGGTGCTGGGCATCCTGGACAGTCTGGCCAGCACAGGGCGCTTCCCCTTAAACCTGAGCCTACTGAGCCACGTGGAGAGACAGAGCTGCAGAGAATTGTTTCAGAAGCTGCAGGCCATGAGCGCCCCCAGACCTCAGCAAGGTGGGCTTGGTCCTGAGCAACCTGGTGCACCCCAGGGGGAGGAGAGGCTGCTGCAAGAACTGCGAGGGCTGTACCAAGTGGACTGACAGGACCGGCTACGTCGGTGCCCCCAGAGTCACAGGAAGCATTTTTTGTTTGCGGCTGGCGGCTCTGCAGAACTGTAATGACGTGCCCAGCCCACCCTCCCTTGTCAGCCTGAAAGTTTCAGAGCCAACGCAGGAATCAAATCCTCCCGCACTCCTCCACTTCTGAACTGTGTGGTTCCACGGCGTGGCAAAGGGCCCAAGCGCTCGAGCAGCTTTGTTCCCACCCTTAGCCAGCCAGCCCTCCAGCCCTGGCCTGAGCCTCGCGTTCTTCCCCCACCAGTTGCTGGCCATACCAGTTACAGCCTCCACGCCAAAGACTGAAAAAGCACGTTGTTATTCTCCCATGGTAAACAAATATTGATCTCTAGAGCTCTTGCTAAGAGTCCTTTTTGAAAAAAGAACATATATAACCCCTAAACAACGGGTGGACACGTAACAAGCAAATGATCAAATGCCACCTTCTTCGAGGTGCAATATTCTCCCCCAGGGATTGAGCTCCTGCGCCAGTTGGGCCTGAGAAGGCCCCCGGGGCATCAGCTTGAGTCCCGTCTGGCCCCCCACCCCACCCCCGGGCTCCTTCAGATGTGCAGGCACAGTTTCCTCCGCTCCCTGGACTCAGCAGGAAGAGCTTTCCGCTGCAGCAGAGGCAGGGCCTGCATCTGGGCTGGCCCCTCTCCGCACACCTGGGCCCCTGCTTCTCATTTGGATTTCCTATGCCCCATTCTTGGGCAAGTGCCAGTGTTCTAGAAAGGGGAGAGGGGGCCAAGTTCTAGAATGTTTTTCCCTCTAGGTCACCCCTGGAACATTAGAAGGAGCTTGTACATCACCTGGGAATAAATTGCCAAATGTTTGACTGATTCCCACAGGTTGTCGCCTCTTTGCCTGCCTGCTCATCCTCCCCTCACAGAGATGCCTCCCCCCGCGGTGGTTTCTAAGACTCCATAGACCCCTAGTGACTTTTCCCTCTTGCCGTCATGAACCTGGCCCACACCGCTGTGCTCCTGTGGGTATGGGGGAGCCTCCAGGCCTTTGAAATCGTGGAGAAGGAGAACATCTTTCAGAAGACCCCCTGCCCAGCTTTCCTGTTATTTGACAACGCGGCCTACCTGGCTGACATGAGCTTCGAGCTCCCTTGCCACTGCAAGCCGGAGGAGGTGTCCGCCGTTGTCTGGTACTACCAGGAACACCTGGGCAGCAGCCACACAAAGGTGCTGACAGACTTCGATGGGCGGATGCTGACCGAGGCAACCCAGGTGCGTGTGGGCAGCGACATGCTGGTCCGCTTCAGCATCCGCATGTTCAACCTCTTGGTCTTCCGGGCTCAGCCTGAGGACTCGGGCTTGTATTTTTGCGGCAGCAGGAAGGGGGACTACTTTTATGCCTATGATGTGGACATTCAGAGCAATAAGAGAGTACTGGCCACCTTCCAAGACGAGGGTCAGGAGCCCTTTGAAGACCAGTACAGCGGGAAACTCCACATCTTCACCACCTTCTGGGAGTGGACCCCCTGCGACCGCTGTGGGGTACGTGGGGAGCAGTGGCGCATCGGCCTCTGCTATGTGAAGAGTCCGGGCCTCTCCCCCCGCTTCCGTAATACTCTACCACAGGTAGTCTCCTGTGGCTCTCGGGCTGTGCCGAGGACGCTTCAGGCCAAGACCAAGAACCACCCACCCGAGGTGCTGATTCGGAGCTGCATGGTGGCCTGTGAGAAGGAGAAGGAGAAGTCGGCCAAGAAGCCAGTGTTCTCCATCTTCAACTATGTGTCCAAAGTGGGCAGCCAGCCCTGGGTGCCCCAGGTACCCATTCAGTTCCACCAACAGATGCTGGGCCATGGACTCATCATCTCCTGTCCCGGGGCTCGGCCGGAGCACGCCGTGGCCTGGGACAAGGACCAGCAGTACCTCTATCGCACAGAGTTCCTGAAGGGCGTCAACAAGTCCATGAGGGTGTTCATCGACCATGGCAACCACCTTCACATCCGCTTTGCCCAGCTGGATGACCGGGGCATCTACTATTGCTGGCGGCAAGGGGTGAAGGTCGCTGGGTTCCGACTGGGCATGACATCTCGAGGGAAATACCAGGCCTCTCTGTCCGACCCTGAAACTCGCTCTGCTATGACTCTCACCCTGATGGGCTACCTGCTCGTCACAGCTCTCTTTGTCACTATTCACCTCTGCCTTTGCTGCAATTACTGGTTTTCCTGCTGTCCTAGTTTTGGCTCTAATATTCCTCTTCCTGGGCGCTGAAGACCAGTTGTACTTACGTGTGTTTGTTAAATGACACCCAGGACGTCAGGCTGGGATATGTGGCAATGGGTATGGACAAGTCTGTGAGTGACCACCTACTCCCCATTTTCATGCACATGATTGGGCTGCGATTGGGGGGTGGGGAACTGAGGCAGGGATAGCTCCCAGCATGCTCCTGTGTTCTGACCGTTCGCTCAGATCAGGGAAGGTGTGACCCTGATGTGTCGAATGGCCTGTGTGTTTGAGATGCTTTATTTTCTTGCCTTTGAGGATGGTCAAGTAGGTGCTGGTGGAAATGGGATCAGCTAGAAAAAAGAATGGAAGAAGCTTAAGTAAATGTCTTCTTTGTCTTCCTCCTCACCTTCATCCTGGGACTGTCAGGCAGAAATTGCAGGTTTGGGAATAAAGGTAAAGACAATGGGGGAAATGACTGAGGAAAATGGAGATAAGATCAGATTCAGGGATTTCCTGAGAAAATGCACCCAGGTGAGACTTGGGGTGAGAGTACGGGGTAAGGAGCAAAGGCTGGTGTGTGGAGGGGTCCCAGGGCTGCCTGGCTGAGCAGGACCGCAGATGGGCTCCGAAGGTAAAAAGCAGGAAGCTGCGTCTTGTTCAAAGCGGTTTTCTATCGGTTTCCCCCGCCCCTGCCTCCCCCGAACAGATTAGAGTCCACTCTGGGGAAGGTTCCAGCAGGTGGGTTTATTTTTCCTCAGTGACTAAAAGTAGCGACTGCATCCTGCAGGCTAATAGCTGTGGTGGCAGGCAGGAGAGGGGAAAGGACACTAAGTCTTGAAAAGAGGGAAGAACTCTCATTTTCCCTGCCCTCTGGTCCTAGAGGGGAGAGGGAGACGCGGAATGGGCCCACTCAGCCCCTAACTCCATGCTCTTCAGTCTTCCCTGGACCACAGAGCAGGGGCTCCCCACGTCCAAGCTGTAGGAACACAATCTATGGTCTTTACTTAGCTCCTGCCTCAATTTCCTGAAAATAGGGTGCTCCCTAAAACATGGGGGCACACTTCATGTTTCAGAGGAGGGGATCCCAGGGGCCCTGGGCTTAGGTCACTGTGGACTGGAGAGGATCAGCTATGTGGCAGGACTTTACCCAGCAGTATTTGCTGGATTTGGGGGCACCCAGAGGTGAACAGGGATCAATGGTGCAGTGAGGCAGGAGTGTGGGAACTGTGACAGCTGCACCTCAGCCCATGGACGGCAGCCCTTTCTCTCCTCTTTTAGCATCTTCAAGAGGAGGAATCACTTTCTTGATTGCCACGACCCAGATAACAATGTGTCACCCACGCTCCCAGCTCTGACGTCCAGGGGATCCTCCCAACCTTCTCTGCTACCATCTCTCCCTGCCCCACCACTGCAGCCTGGATGCAGGAGTCCTCCTGGGCTTGATCTCTCTCTGTGCCCATACCTAAGAGCCAGGCAGTCCCCCTCTTCCCTCCTGACCCCCCTTCCCTCTCCACTTATTCTATAGCTCCCCCCGAGTGCTGGGCATCAAGCTCCCACGTGCCCACCACATGCCCACAGCATGCCACATGGCAGCCCTGTTTGGCTGAGACACTTCAGTTGCCACGCAGGAGGCCCTTCAGGGATCTGAGCAGGCCAGGAATCCCATCTGGGGGCTGGGCGTCAGAGTGTCCCCGACCACCCATTCTCAGACTGGGGCAGGGTTAGTCCAGAGCCAGCCTCCGGTCAGGGTTGCCCTGCTTTCCCCTCCCATCTTAGAATCTCAGTTTTCCTCCAGCAGCCTGAGGAAGCTCAAAGACGCAGTTTCTCCAGATGCCTCCAGAGACCCCCAACTCTGGCAACAGTTGCCATGACAGCAGAGATTGGGGCTACAGAGGGTGAGTTATTAGATCCCTTTGCCCTCTCCATCTTCTCTCCCCCTCCCAATTCAAGCCCAAGCTGCTGGCCACGCACTTCCAGGTCCTCGCCTTGGGGTGAGTGTCCTACTAGTTGGAGTTTCTGGGTGCAGGGTGGGTACTGTCTCACAGGCCTGCTGACAGAGCCTGGAACAGAGCTGGCGAAGAGATGGAGGGAGCAGGAGAGCAGTAAGGCAAGGGGAATTAGCTGGCAGAGCGGAACAACTATCCTTTCTCACTGCAGGGCCCTCCGGCTGCAGAGTGGGGGCCACTAGGTGGGCCCCCTCACATCATGTCCTTGTGCTCCTGCTTGGACTCCTTAATGACCTGGAGGGGACAGAAAGTGCACAGTCCCAGAGACCTCCCTTGATGCTGGGCAAGCCCCAAGCTTGGGGACAAGCTCCCCCACCCCACCCCCATGTATCAACCAGAGGGAGAGATGCCACTGTAAAGTGATGCCCAGCATGGGTGAGCCAGCACTGGCAGGTGTGGTGGGGAGGGTAAAACTGAGTCCCCTCTTTGCAGGCCTCTGTCACGGTCCTTTGGTCAAGGTGGAAATTGAAAGTTGGGAATGAAAGCAGCTAACTTTCATTCTCTTTCACTCCCCCAAGCCTGGCATTGGGGGCACCTCAATCTGAACATGAGAAAGGGGGATGCCCCAGTCAGGACCCCTGCCAGGCATTTAGAACTGCCAGTGGAGGGGCTGGGCATGGAGCTCCATCAAGTTTCCTCCTCTCTTCCTGAGCTCCCTTGGGCAGCATTTGGGAGCTGTGGGGACCATCTTTGTGCCAGCGCCTGGCTTCTCCCAGACCCTGGTCTCCAGAGTACCCGGGGACAGCTGGAAGCTGACAGGACCAGAATCGCGGGCCTGCCCTCCTCACCTCTCCGTCCCGCATCTCCACGGTCTTCACCACGATGTTCCTCTTGAGGTGGCCTTCTGACACGGTCTTGGTGTCCAGGCTGGTTTCTGCAGGCGTGAGGAGACGGGGCTCCGGTGGGCTCTCTGGGCCCTAGACCTCCTCCCCAACCACCAGCTTTCCCATCAACCACACACCCCAATTGTGAGTGAGGAAGCCTATTCTCCCAAAAGGGCTACACCCACTCTCCTGGCCTGGCTGCCCTGCCACCTGCCCCGCCTGGCGCCCTTCTCACAGCCCAGCGCTGGGCTCTGAATTCAGGCAGCCAGAGCTGCAGTCTAGGTCAGTCACTAACCAGCCACGCAACTCAGTTTCCTCATCTGCAAAATGGGGGCAATGGTGTCTACTCCAGAGGAAACGAGGAGTCAGGTAACTGAAATAATCTGTGTTCCGTGAAAAGCACAGGCTAGAGTTGCGTGCACGGGGGCCCCTTCCCTTCCCCCTTCCTACTTCTGGGGGCCTGACTCCCTTTTGCTATGTGGCTCCGGCAGCAGGACCCTACCGGGCCCTCCCCTGAACCCCTCTGAGGCTGAACTGAGCTCTGGGAAAGCACATCTGATGTTCCTAACACTTCTAGCCCAGAAGAATATTTTCTTTAGCAGAGATGATACATGATACATCCATGTACAGAGGGTTTCGTCCCCCAGCCACAGAGAAAAATATAACACGCCACATCCACTGATATTTAAAATTAAGAGAAGGGGGCATAAACTTTATCACTGCTAGAGCAGCAGTCCAGACGAAAATAATCCTCTGGGCTGAATCGGCAGTGAGCGGAGCAGTGGAGCGCAGGGCAGAGTCTAGCAGCGAGCTTGGCGCTGGGCACACAAGACCCAAGGGGCCTCCCGGGAGGGACGCGGGGGGCAGGGGCTGGCATCTGCTCGGAGGCCCCGGAGAATCTCCTCTGGGCACCAGGGACCACCTCACACAGCTCTGTCGGTTTGACTCCATTTACCCTGTGCCTGGTGCTGAGGGGGCACAGAGGGGCTGGGAAAATGACCCCTGTTGGCCCTTTAGGGGGATCTGGGAGGAGGAGCCCTGGAGGCAGGGAAGTGGGCGGGGAGAGGCAGGCTCCCTGTGAGGCTGAGAAAAGCACAGTGTCTGCTAGACAGGCCGCTGACCCGAGAGAGAGAGAGCCGGTGGGGCTCCATTTACAATCTGGTGAGCCTGTATTGGTATAACTTGGATTGTGAAGCTTTTGAGATGTCTCGTGACCTTGTGACCTTCCCCTCCTTTGGTGCTTTTGCCCCCTGTAGTGACAAGCAGTTAAAAAAAAAAGACAAAACGTAAAACACTCAGACAGCACAGGTGGCTCCGGGATCTGTGGGCTGTGGGGAGACCCCCACCAGGCTCTACAGTGCAGGCTGAATAGGGTGCAGGCTGGGGGACAGGGCAGGGAAGCAAGGAGTGGCCGCTCCCCACCTCGATGCTCTGGATGGTGTGTTCTGGTAAAGCTCTGCCATGGATCTCAAGGAGATCTCCCCAAGGAGAGCCCGACCCCTTTGCCCTGGCCCCTGGCCCAGGCCTGAGGGAGAGGCAGTGGCCGCCACCTGAAGCATGAAGCCCTGCCCCACTGACCTCGGATCTGCAGGTTGGAGAAGGTCTGCACGGGAATGGTGATGCTGGAAGACAGCAGAGGTAGAGGGGTGACCTGTTGGTCCAGGACATCGGAGGCCAAGCTCTGGTTCTTACGGTGACAGCCTCGGTCGTCTTCCTTGCCAGGAAAAGCCAGCCCCACCTCCTAGCTCTCCCCAGCAGCCCACACCAGGCGCCTGCAAGGGGCTTGGCTGTTACCTACGAGGGGCCTCCTCTGTTCCAAGGACAGCGAGGCCTGGAGGACAGTGGAGGGGAGGGACAGTGCTGAGGGAAGTTCCCAGGAGGCCCAAGAAGTCAATCAGGAGAGAAGGAGTGAACTTGGTTGGAAGCTGGGCTGGCCCTCTTAGTTGAGTGTGTGGTGTGCCCCAAGTCCTGGGAGCCGGGACCTCAACACTGGCTGAGCTGCGTCCATTCACTCCTCAAGTATTTAGGGACTACAGGCCTGTGCCAGGCCAGCGCCCGCGCAGGCAATGGCGCAGCTCAGGGTCTGGGCACGGCCCCAAGACGCAGCCCGGGAAGGGAGGGGCCGCAGGGCAGACAGGCTCCCTGGGGCTGCGGCCAGGACCCACCGGTTCTCCTCGCCCTCCAGCAGTTTCCTGTAGGTGGCGATCTCGATGTCCAGGGCCAGCTTGACGTTGAGTAGGTCCTGGTACTCCTGCAGGTGGCGTGCCATGTCGTCCTTGAGGCTCCGCCCCTCCTCCTCCAGCCGGGCCAGCGCCTCCTGGTAGCTGGCAGCTTCCCGCGCGTGGCGCTCCTCCTGCTGGCGCAGCTGCCTCTCCAAGGACTCGTTCTGTGGGGAGGAGCGTGTCCCCCTGCCCGTCACGCACCTCCCTCCGCCAGAGAGACGTCGCGGTGTCATCTCTGCCCAGCCCCAGCCCTTTCTCAGTAACTGCCCAGAGTCCCGCCCCCAATCCTGGTCTCTGCCCCTGGCCCTTGTCCTGGCATCTTCCTGGGGTGGCAGGGGGCCTCCGCCGGCTCACCAGCCTCCCTGATCCACTTGTCCCCCACCTCCCGACCTGCCCGCACTCACCGTGCGGCGCAAGGACTCCAGGTCGCAGGTCAAGGCCTGCAGCTGGCGCCGCTGGTCACTGGCCTCGTGCTTGGCCTGGCGCAGCAGCTCGGCATTGTGAGCAGCAGTGTGGGTCAGGTCTTCGAACTGCTTGGGGACAGAGTCCCATAATAACTGTGGCTGCCTGTGGGAATCAGTGTGTGCCCCTGGGGGCGGGGCCCTGGGAAATCAGGTTGGTGTCCAGGTGGCTCCTGTGTGGGGTTGTCTCTGTGGCCCATGGACAGGGGCACAGAAGCCATTGCTGTGTCTCTAGCACCCAGCACAGCTCTGGGTCAGTGCATGGAGGCGTGAACAGTGTTTGCTGCAGAATCCAGGGCCTCCTGCACTGGCAGCTCCATCTTTAGGCCTGAACCCTCTTGTCCCTCCCCCACCATCAGCAGTGGCTGGTCTCGAGGCTGTCTCTCCCCCAGCTTGCAAGGACGTCGCCCGCTGCTCCATCAGGACAAAACCATGCCTGGGGCCATGACTGGCTTCTGCCACTTCCACTCAGCTCCCAGCCCTGGGCAGCCACAGCCTGCGAGTTTGGCCCAGACCAAATGCCCTTCCTTCCAAAATATTCTCCTGGTGGGCTTACACTGCATGTAAATCCTACCCGCAGTATTCTCTAGGGATACCATGCTTGCGGGCACATTCTATTTCCCTCTGTGTCCCAGGCAGTGCCTGGCACACGGTAGCTACTCCACAACCCAGGGCACAGCCAGCAGAGGCCCTAAGTAAGCTGGCCAAGGGGCAGAATCTGGCACTACCATTTATTTAGGAGCCGTGTGACTTGAGGCAAGTTAACCTTTCTGGACTTCAGGTCTCTCGTGTTAGACTCGTACTGACTGAAGTCAGTAAGAGAAGCCAAGCGAAGCTCATGGCCTAGCAAACAACAGTGGTGGCTAACAATAAGAGCAGCAGTAATACTAAGTACTTATTGGAAGTGAGGGTGCCCAAGTGACCTTGGAGCAAGTTAACCCTCTTCTCACCCAAAGATCATGCTCTCCCAGCTCCCTCCACCCTCCTTCCCCAATTCTTTTGCATAGAGCCAGGAGGGCTGCCTGGAAAAGGAAGGCTGGCCCACCCTTCGGGCTACCTTAGACCGGTACCACTCCTCCGTCTCATGCATGTTGCTGGACGCCACTGCCTCATACTGCGAGCGGATCTCTCTCAGGGCCGCTGTAAGGTCTGGCTTGGCCCCATCCAGCTCCACGTGGACCTGCTGCCGGGTCAGCTGCTCCTGGAGTTCCTGCATCTCCTGGCCAAGGTGAGAGCAGGGTACTGGGGCTCAGGGCGCAGGTGGTGAGTGGGGTTTCCCCATGGCATCATGCCTCTCCTGCCTGCCCCTCGCACACAGGTGTGGCTAAGGGAAACGGGCAGTTCTTGCTGGAGGAAGTGGTGTGGCCCAGGTAGGGCAGGTGAGATGGGTGGGGGGAGGCCTGCTGGTGTCCTCCTCGCAGGCCCAGACAGGAGACTGTTCTCAGGAGACTGTGGCAGAGATTGTGGTGATGTGCCTGTGGGCGCAGGCTTCTGTGGGGTCATGGACTCTGAGTCGCCCTCGAAGGGCAGAGCTCAGAGCGACCTTTCTTAAAAGAATGACTTTCATTTAGGCCCTCCCTAGTGGTGCAAGGGTGAAGTCTCAGCACTGTGAGGCTCTCTGAAGTTGCTGCAGCATGAGCTTGACCCCCGTCAGGGAGCTGACCCACAGGGCACAGCAGACCTCTCCTGACCTGCCTGCTGCTTCCCTCAACAGTGTATTTCAGTAGATCCACCTGTCCTGTTCCCCACTCTGTCTCTGGTGAAGCCTCTCACTGCTCACACCTCAGGCCTGTACCCTAGTTCTTGTGCAAATAAATAAATCTTTTAAAAATTGACTCGTTTAAATGAAGACAGATGACATGGGTCGAGGGTGAGGTCAGAGGGACTTAACTGTGTGACCTCAGCAAGTCCTGTAACTTCTCTGGGCCTCAGTGTCCTGGGGCCCAGACTGAAGGTCACAGGTGTCGCACAGGACTGTAGCTAAGACAGAAAGCCCGAGGCAACAGGCCTGTTGTGACCCCCTGAAGTGGGGTGTGTGAGCAGTTTACCAGGTGGGGATTGGGGCAGCGCTCTGGCCGTCCTGTCTTAGTGTCTGTCTCGTTCTTCCTTGGCCTGTTTCTTTCTCTCTCCCCTGAGTATCTCTGAGTCTCAGTATCTCTGCTCTGGCTCTCCCTCAGTCCCAATCTCTGCGCTGCCTCTTCATTTTCTGCCCCTACCTTACCTCCTCATGAATCTTCCTCAAGAACTGGATCTCTTCCTCCAGGGACTCAACCTTCCGCTCCAGATCCAGACGGGCCAGAGTGGCTTCGTCTGCGTCCTGGAGAAGAGGGGGGCAAAGGGCCACTGTGACCCCAGACTCCTCCTCCCCACTCCCCAGCCTGTCTTCCCCTTCCTTCTGGAGTTGTGGGGGGCAGTACACTGCTTTGGAGGACTGGGCTTGGTGGGGGCTGTTTGGGTGTGCTGCCAGAACCCTTCCTCCACCCTGAGCCCTCCCCCGCCACCCTGACCTGTCGATAGGCGGCCAGGTTGTTCTCAGCCTCGAGCCTCAGGTTGGTTTCTTCCTGGAGCCTGGAACGGGGGACACACTCCTGGGTCCAGGTTCTTCTGAGGGCTCCTGGATCCCTGCTCAGGGTTCCTAGAGGTGGCTGCTAGAAGGACCCCGCCCTTCTCCCCTCCCCTGGCCCCCCAGGAATTGTAGGGCAGCAGGAGAGGATCACAGGTGTTCTAGACAGAGGCCTTGCCAAGACGGTGAGCAGACAAGGGACTTCGCTTCGGCTCATTACTAAGGCGCCTTATCAGGCTTGGTGCACCTGCTTCTGCCCACACAGTCGCCCTGATGAGCACTATGGGCCGTGTGTGCTGCACACACAGCTCCTCCTGCGCGCCAGGGCTCCCGCACTGGCCTGCCAGCTCGGCTCAGCGCCACACCCCCGGGGTTGCCTCTGAGCTCTGTTAATGGTTTTTATTAAGATCCCTGCTTCACAGCTCTATAGTGGAAGGGGCTTGACTAGGGTCATGTGCTGGCGACAGGCAGAGTCCCCTGTCTAAGTCAGGCCTGGCTGACCGCTGCCCCCTTCCTTTGCCCGGAGCTCTGTCCTTGTGCCAACCTTCTCCTCCATCCCACTGTACAGCCCGGGGCTCAGAATAGGTGAGCGCCCTCCCCTGTAGGCCCTGCCTATTGGGATCCCTGATGAGAGGTAGTTTGTGGGAGCCAGATTCCTGAGGTCTGGCCCCTCCCATCATTTGGGGGAGTAACCACTGCCCTCCCCTCCCAGAACTGGGGACACCGAGGAACAGGGAACCAGAGCCTCCTGCCTGAGCACCTGCAGGAGCTCGGTCCTCCCTGCTCGGGTGGCCCCTCTCCCCTGCCTCTCCTCACTTCTGCTTCAGGACGCTCAGGTCCAGCGCCAGGTTGTCCCTCTCCACCTCCAGCCGGGCACTGTTCGCTGTGAGTTGATCGAGCCGCAGCCGCAGCTCCCGTAGCTCAGCCTTGTAGACATCAGCCAGCTTGGTGGGCTCCTTGGCCCGCAGCTGGTTCAGCTCGGCGGCCAGCGCCTTGTTCTGCTGCTCTAGGGAGCGCACCTTCTCGATGTAGCTGGCAAAGCGGTCATTGAGCTCCATCATCTCTGCCCGCTCGCTGGCCTGTGTCTCCTTGAAGCTGGCATTGAGGGCCCCGGCCAGGGAGAAGTCCACCCGGGCTGGGAGTGGGGGCGGCATTCTAGCCAGGGAGAGGCGGGTGCCAGCGCCCAGGCGGCGGCCACCAGCCGGGCCCCCCACCACCATCTCAGAGGAGGAGGTGTAGGAGCGCTGAGCAGCTGAGGTGACCCGTCTCCTCTCCATCCTGACCGGGCTCTTCTGGCTCTGGGCGAGTGAGGGCTTTATGGAGGAGTGGGCCAGTCAGATGCTGCCTGGGCTGCCCTGGCAACACCCTGGCATGGCCTGAGGGGGTGGGGCTGGGCCACCGTCTGCCCTGGGGCAAACCCCCTCGCCCCTCCCAGGTCACTGCGGCCAGGGGCAGGGCCCCCCAGACAGAGGAACAACAGGGCAGGGCCTGGCGCCAGATGCTCGTTGTAGGCCTCTGACCACGGGGCGAAGAGAGGCTTTCTCTAGGAAGGTGGGTCAAAAAAGGGCTGGACCACGTGGCCTCTGACCCACCTTCCACTCTTGGACCGCTTCACCCCACTTTCAGGCACCAGCAGCCCTTCAAGTGCCTGCTACATGTTGGGAATTGGGCAAAAGCAAGCCTCAGTGAACAGCCTATAGGACAGCTGCCCTATAGGGGCCAACAGCCCGCCGTTGCCAACTGATTCCTGGTGTGCTCCCTAAGAATGCGGGTTCCCCACATTCCTGCTTTCTTCCCATTTCTGGGCTTCTGGAATTGGGCCCCAGCCCTTTGTCTGGAGGGTCAGCCGGGGCCTCTCCAGAAGGAAGGTGGGCAAGGGGGGCAGCCCTCTTCCTGGGCCACTCTGAACCCCCCGCCTCAGTCCCGCGGGGCTCAGCTGCCCTTGCTCGGCCTCCCTGCACCCCTCCCAGAGCTGGTGCAGGGACAGTTCCACAAAGCAGTTATGGATGAGCTGGCTGTCCCAACTGCCATCTTTGTCCCTGCAAAGCCCTGTTTCCCTGGTCACCCCTCGCTTCACTCTCCCTCTGGGCATTTATCTCTTTTGAGTCCCCACACACTGGGCTGGGAGGATGGAAAGGCCTCCAGGATAGGTGGGGTTTGGGAGCCTGGAGTCCCTGGGTCCAGACAGGAGCCAGGGCTCTGCTGCCCTCAAGGCTTCAGATGCTCCCACCTCTTGTGTGCTGGAGCCTCAGGTGCAGGGCCCCTCATCCTTCTGTGTCCTTGAACTTCTGGGAAAGAGGCAGCCTCTTCTCCCGCCCTGTTGCCGCTGCCTGTGCTGGGCACTTGCTGAATGGAGCCTTGTTCTCTACCGCCGCTGAGGGCGCCGCATTGGAGGCACCTCCCGGGGGCTGTGCTGTTTCTGTCCTCAGATGTCGGGCTATTAGGCGGGGTACAGGCTCAGCCCCTGCTCAGAGCGTTTCTCGGAAAGCATCTGAGGAGGCTGGGGTGCAGTGGGGAGCAGGCTCTGTGCCACCCCTGACAGTTGTGTCTGTGCCAAGGTGAGTCATTCAGCGGCATGAAGGGGATGTCTTGGGGCGGCCAGCCCAGCCCCACCGTGTCCCCAGTGTTCAGACAAGGCCTGGCTGCTCCCCCACCCCCAGGCTCAGAGCCAGGGCAGGCCCCTGGGCTCCTTTCCGGGCAGTATCCCCAGGCTGGGGAGATGCTCTCTACATGGGCGTGTTATGGGCGGCTTGCCAAGGCCTCCCACTGTGATCCCGGCACAGAGAGGAGGGGACCCACATCTCCAGCCGTATCTGAGCCTGAGCCATGGGTTCCCCATGGGGAAGGGACTCCTGAGGAAGGGGTGCCAGTGACTTGTGATCCTGCTGTGGGTTGGGGAAGGACAGAGGACATTGAAGTCTCACTTGACCCAACTGTCTTCCATGGCTAAGAGCCGCCTGCCTGGCAAGTAGCAGTGTGTCCTCTCTCTGTCCAGCTGAAATGGACGCAAAGCAGTCCGGACGGGAGACTCTTTGAGGGGGGTGGGGAGCGCTAGTCAGAGAGGCTCGGTGGGTTCCGCCCATGTATGAGACACAGGCTGGCTTCAGCAGCACATGGAGGCCCCCCTCCCAGGCTTCACCTAGCTCCTTGGGCCCCCTGATCCACCTTCACCCCCACTCTGACTTCAGACCCACCCAGCTACTCAGTCCTTAGCCACATAAAGATGCCCAGGCAGCACCTAAGGAGACAGATTCAATCACAGTTTTTGCCAAACTTTCATTATTTTTTTTATTACACATTCATTGTCGAAAAATCAGCAAATATGGATAAGGAAAACAAACAAAAAAATTAATTAGCCATAATTTTGCCACCTGGAGATAAACACTACCAGATTTTTCCATGCATACAAATTTTTTTTTGAAAGTGGGCTTATGCTGCACAAATTATTTTGTAATTTGCTGTTTTCACTCAACAATATGTTGTGAACATCTTTCCATATCAATAAATATTTATCTAAATCATCATTTTAACCGCTGCATGGTTTTCCACTGTATGCATTGATTTAATCAAGCCCTGTATCGGGCTGTTATATATCCTCTCTCTCTCCTAGATTGTTCTATGATGCACATCTGCCCCAACAGACACAGCTCTCAGCTGTGTCTCTGCTCCCACACCCTCCAGGCCTGGCTGAGGCCCCGTGCTAGGGGGTGCCTCCTCCCCTGTTCCCCCACTCTGAGGGGTTCAGCATTGGGAGCGTCTGGCCCACTCGGAGACTGACTTCTCCATACGCCGGCAGCGGCCCAGGGCCAGGGGAGGGAATGCCCTGATGTTCCTCCGCAGGGCCCCCAGCCAGCCGTCGCCCGCTTCAAGCTGAGGTAGGAACATGCTGTCTTCCCACACCACCTGCCCCTCCCAGAGCATCTGGCTTGCTAGGATGCCCTTCTGCCTGTGGGACCCACATGCCTCTGGGGGCAGGCCAGCACCACACACCTGGCCTCCACCCACACTCAAGTTTTCTAAACCTGTCAGTCTCTCAGCCTCAATTCTGATTCTTGACTGCTGCTTGAGTCTCTACCCCTCTCCCAGTGCAGGTCCCCAAGCTTGGGTGGGGCCAGGAGAATGTGGGTCTCTGGGGCCCACCTGCTGGTGGTGGCAGCCTGGAATCCACCCATCCTCCACCCAATCCTGAGGAGAGGCGCTGGGTCCCGGCGGCCACTAGGTGGCAGTGCTCACCCACCCCATCCTCGCTGCCCGCAGGCCCCTGCGCTCAAACCAGGGAGAAAGCTGTTCTCACAGCTGTAGGCTTTCTAACGAAGGCAGTTACCCCCAGGGTGACTCCTTTAGTCCCTAGAGTTGCCTCTGTCTGTCCTGGCGGTGTGCTCTAGGGCAGAGAGCAAGGCCCGGGCCCCAGGATGACCTCAGGAAACTTCTAGTCTCCATTTTCACCTGCAAAAGATGATCTCACCATACTTCCAGGGTAGTTGTGAGAATAAAATCCATGAAAGCTGGACACAACGCATGCCCAGCAATCATAGCTTCCATTTAACCAGAGCTAATCCATTTAGCACCTGTCCACCTGTTAGGAGGGGCTGGAGGGGGAGGGGCTGCAGGCGGAGCCAGGTCTTCTAGGGGTGGCTTGTGGACCATCCCTCCCCTATAGGCAGTTACCTGCTTTGTGAATGGAGCCCAGTGGGCAGCAGCCAGTGATGAGGGGGTGGGGGACAGGAACATTTGTCCCCAGACCACAGCTAGAGCACACTGGGTTATCTGCTGCCCCTAGGATGCTCAGAGCAGCTCTTTCCCAGCCTGCTTTTCCTGCCCACTCCTCCAGGGCGCTGCTTCCTCCTACCTGACCTGCTCCATCCCTGGACTGGAGCCCACAATGCCATCTGGCTTGAGACACTCGGTGTGTCAACATCCCCCTGGGTGTGTGGTCTTCTGCATCTCAGCATGGCTCCCAGGTGAAGGGCCATGTCTTTCACATTGAGAAGAGGCTTCTTGACACTAGTCTTCTTCCCATTCATACCGGCTCTCCCTAAGGGTGGGTCAGACTAAGGCAGCCACAAGACACAAGCCACCCGAAGGAGAAGCCATGCTTTACTGTCAGAGGGAAGCTCCTTGAGGGAATGGGGATAGGAGGGATGCAGGTGAGCTGGGAGCAGCCCTCGGGGTCAGCAGAAAACACAGCTGCATTCTCCAGGTCTCTGGCAGCGACTCCAGTCCCTTCCACCCCTAATACCCCCAACCCAAGCCCTCTGAGCCATAAGCCAGATTCTCTTTGAGACTCAGGATCCCTCCCCGCCCTTCCAGCCTAGCTAAAAGCCAAGGGGACACTTCTGGGGGAAACTGGGGACTGATGAACAAGGTCTGGGGGGCAGCACTCCTGAGTCAGTTGTTACCAAGGAGGCTCCCCATGTAGTGATGACATCCCCTGGGCGGGATCAAGCCGAGATCCCCGGGTGAGGGGGAAAGCCCAGTGCCATCCCTTGATCAGTACCAACACTGATGGAGATTTAAGTTCACACTCAGGTGACAGGGACAGATGGCATCCTGATTCCCTGCTTGAAAGGGCCACGTATTAGTCTGCACCTCCCGGCACTGAGCCTGGCAGGAATTTATACCCCAGGGTGGGGTCCAGACCTGAGTTGCTGGCCTGAAGTGGGAAAGGAAGGGGTATAAAGGATGGGCAGAAGAGAATACTTCTGGACTCCCAGAAGTGGCATGAGGGGCCCCACGGTGGAAGGGACTTATGTCAGGTTGGGCTGCAGGGACCAGGAGCCATTGATCTCCATTAAGGAACTATCCAATCTCAGAGCCTCGTGCCACCCCAGAGGTCAGCTGGGAGCTGGCTGTGGTGTTCTGACCCCCTGCGAAGCTGGGACCAGCCAGGCAGCCTCCTGGCGAGCAGAACACCAGGAAGCAGGCACTCTCAGCCTGACCTCTCCTGATTGAGGGCAGGAGCCACTCACGCTTAACTCCATCGGCAGAACTTGTACATTTAACGGGTCACCCGAGAGTATATCTTGCACCAGAACCACAAATGTTTGCTGAGTGAACGGCCAGCTGCAATACATCCTTGGCAAGAGTGACCTCTTCCACGTGCAAGCTGCCCCCAGCCTGGGCACATTCAGCATGGTGCCAGGGACCCTGGTGTGTGAAGCTTGCCCTCCTGGCCCTGTTACCGGCCACCTTGCTGGGTGCCTGCTACCTCTGCCCTTGGAGGGGCGATGGGGGCATTCAAATGAGATAATATATGGGAGGGCCCCAGGAAAGGGGGAAATTTATTCAATTTGAGTCCACCCAGCACTCAGAGGGCTCATGAGGTCAAGGCGCCACGCCAGGCCGCTGGCGGCTACAGATGTGAGGCTGTGCTTGCCGCTGTGGGAATCCTGGTCCGCAGGGGAACAGAAACTCATTAAGACTAATTGGAGAGGAGGGAACGCCAGGCACTCGAAAGAAACGTTGCCAGACTGCTTCTAAAGGGAAGCAGGTTGGTGCAAGGCACACAGCCAGACCCCAGTTTGAATCCTGGTGCTGCCGCTCACTGGTAACTGGGCAAGCTTTGCCACCCTTCTGCGAGACCATGTCCCCACCACACCTCCTAAGGTCGTGAAGTTTTATGAAGATGCCAGAGGTGCTCCTCTGTGATCTCCCAAAAGGAGTTGGAACTGGGGGGGTGGGTAGGGAGGGACTGGCCAGGTAGAGGGGAAGGTGGCTCCCCCAGAACCAGGGGGATTTCAATTTGAAATTAGCAGCATTATTTACACACTCTTCACAATGTGCTAAATACCATTAACATGTTTGTTTTCAGAAGCAAGTTAAACAGACTCTGGGAATTTTGTTTACACTATTAATTCATCCAGTCAGCCATGTCTTCCTGGAGAGACAGAGGTAAATCTGTGTTAAATTGCCACAATCCCAACGTGTAGAGAAAGTCATATATATTGTGGTAAACCAAAGTTACCTTAACTAAAGAAAAAACAAAAAACCCAAATCAAACGGAACAAGAAACAAAGGATTGGCGAGGAAAGCCAGAAACGGGGGTGGGAGGAGGCTTTATAAGGGGGCTCCCCTTATAAACCCAGGAGCAGTCCCCTGAGTAGAAGACTGCTCTGTGTTCCAGCCAGGTGGAACTTGGCCTGGAGCTCCCTAACATCTGGGGACCCTAAGTTGTTCTCCCTAACAGGGGTCCTAGCAACCCCCACCCAAGGCTGCATGTGGACAGAGCAGGCCTCCTCACAGGCCCAGGGAGGTGGGGCTGGAGGTCCAGAGCTCAGCCAGCAGCAGGGAGAATGAGAATGAGCTCTACACTAAAGGTTTCTTGAGGTCTTGAAGAATGGGAAGAGGAGAAAGGGTGGGTGTTACTGTCCTACCAAGGAAAACACACACACATGCCAAGGATGGAGGTTTATTCATTCTTATAATAAAAATATATCTCTATATCTACAGTTATAGGTGCGTAAATGTACACTCGCAGGAATGACGGACGGCAGTGTCGCACCCCGTAATCAACAGCTTCTATCTAGCGGCTAGCACTGAGGAGGAATTTCCCACTCTTCTCTATACTTCTTTTTGCACCGAGTGTGTATCCTGTTTTAAACAGTGAAAACAAGGAAGCTATCTTCATTTAGAAATCAAGGCACCACCATGGTCTGTGTCATCACCGGGACACAGGCTGAAGATGTCCCTCTCCCCGAAAGCAAGACGGGCCAGCCAGGGCTCCCCACCTCACCCCCACCCCCTCCTCTTACTGAGCATTGGCTTTGACTGCACAGGGCCTGTGTTGGCCTGGAAGGTGGGGGTGGGGAACAAAACCCCCAAGAGCCACCCGCCTAGATGGCGGGTGGGGGAGGTGATAGCAGCACCCTTTAAAATGGCAGCACGTTAACCCTCACAAGCGAATACATACAGTCCCAGAAGAGAGTGTAAAAAGAGATTAATAGGGAGAACAGCAGGATGACTGACTGGGGAGCGGGGCTGATAGGAGGGTGTGGACAACAGCTCAGAGGGAACAGGCCAGGCCGGTGCAGGGCCTCAGGTCAGGACGCCTTGGCAATGCAGTTCCCAGCTGGCAGGGCTCCTCCAAGCCCCACCAGTTGCTTCTGGCTCCTCTGGTTGCCAGGGCAGCGGGGACTGGAGCGGGGTTCTGCTGGCCGGTTGGATGCGGGAGGCAGGGAGGAAGGAGAGTGAGGCCTGGCCCCTGCCCCCACCCACCCCATCTCCTACCTCTCTCAACATGCTCATCTCGGCGTCCCCCAGCCCTCCTCAGGTCTCCGGGCCTCGGTCCACCCACCCGTCCTCCTCTCTGTCTCTCTCGGCCGCTGTGGCCAAACATCCCTACCCCCAGTGCTAGTCACCTGGGACTGCAAGGGGCCCAGCTGGCTTCTTCAAGGTGTTGCTGGGGAGGCGTGCGATGCGGCTGTGGCCTCGGCCCCGGGCGACCCCCAGGGAGCGGGAGACTGAGGCGCTGAGGGAGGGAAGGAAGGTGCCAGTTAAACCTCAGGGTTAAGGGTGGGGGTGGGGTCTGGAGGTGTGTGACAGACCTAGACACTAGGCCTTATGGGCAGGGGGTGCTGAGAACCAACAACAGCTTTTAAGGCCAAATCTGAGGGCAGGAGAGGCAGCGAGGGAAGGAAAGCTACGTGCAGAGCAGTGAGGCTGGGCAGTGGCAGTTCAGCTCTGGACTAGCCAGCGAGTTCTTGAGAATCTCCCGTGCAGGGAGAGGCCGTTGCCTTTCACAGAGGGAGGGCGCCACCCTTCACCTCCAGTGCCACGCTGCGGTAGCAAGGGCCTGGGGTGCTAGTCAGAGAACCAGGAGAGGCTCTTGCAGGCTGAGACCGGCTCCCAGGGGCCCAGCCTCACAGCGAGGTCTGTGGCTGGCTCAGTGTGCCCTGCCCTGTCACCTCCTCAGCCTCACCTTACAGCGCGCCTCTTCTTGCAGGCAGAAGTCCCGGGTAAGGAAGACGCTGGTTTGGGCCCCTTCGTGGTGAACAGGGGAATGGGGCCGCTGAGGAAGGGAGGAAAGTGAAAGGAGGCAGATCAGGAGGGAACCAGAAAATGGTGCCAGCCCCCCTCCCTCCAGCCCCCAGGTTGGGGCAGGGGAGGTTGGACAAGACGACCTCTGAGGGTTTTTCCTACTAAGAGGTGGACGCCACTGCCCGCCTCACTTGGCCTGCACTGACAGCTGAGTGACAGGCCTGCTCTGGGAGAACATCCAGATGTCAGTTTCTGGCACATCCAGGGAACTGGAGTTCAAACAATTTCACCCTTCCACCTGCGCAGCTCTGAGCTGGCTCCTGAGGGTGGCCCAGGTTCTGGGAAGGGCTGGGGGTGCAGTGGGCAGCCTGCTGTGAGGTCAGTCGCCACTTGTTCTTGGCCTTGGACTGTCCTGAACTGGCTGCTGCTTCCCTACCCTGTTGTGTGGGCAGAAGGTGTGGGGGGGGCTTCATCTTCTCGCTGAAAAACTGCTGAATAAAGTTCTCTAAGGCCCCGTCGGCACTCCCAGACGCTGGGCGGGAGGGCAACATCCAGGGCGGAAGGGACGTGGGACTCAGTCCAGGTCAGTGGGCCCCAGCAAGGGATCGAGGGGTTGGGCTTCCCTCTAATTCCTGCTCCCCGCTGGCCCTCCGAAGTTGGGGTCCCATAGACTACCAGCCCAGAGCTGGCACCTTGGGAGTGCAGACAGACAAGGTGGGGCCCCCGAGGGAAGAAAGGCCTTCGCCGAAATCTTATTTTCTGCCCTCGTGGACTTGGGGAGCAAAGCTGATCACACCAGAGGGGAAGAGCCAGCATCCAGCTCTAAGAGTCAGGGTGACCTCCCCTCCACTTGGCGGCACCAATGCCCCTTCCGGACCCCTAACCTCCTCCTGGGAGGGCTGCTAAAATGGCGACCCACCTGGGGATGAAAGGCTGATCCAGCCTGCTGAGCTCCCGGGGCACGTCCTCCCAGTCAGCGCAGTCAAGGACACCCAGCTTTGAGGAGGGCTCCTCAGGAAGGTCAAAGGTGGTGTTGAGGTCCCGAGCAGGCAGGACCAGGGGGGTGGAGCAGTTCTGGAGAGCAGAGGCGCCCAGGGGCACCCGGCTTTTAATGACGGTGGCTGGGCAGAAGCGAGGGGAGCGGCAGGGGGACAAGACCCTTCTCCCTTTGGGGGTGGTGGGTCCAGATGGAGGCTGCGCCTCGGGCAGGGAACCCCTCCTCAGGCAGGGCAGAAAGGACTGGCGCTGGCGCTTGGTCCCGGGCTTCGGGGCCAGGTGGCTGTCTGACTCCAAGGGGCTCAGGTCCCTCCTCCTCTTCTTCTCCGTGGGCCGCGGGGATGTGCGTGCTGGGGTGCGATCAGACTCAGGGAAGAGCCCCAGAGTGTGCATGCGGCCATTCAGCTGCCTTGCCATGGTCCGGGTCACCGGGCCGGAGTATCCTGGAGACTCTGGGCACAGGGAAGGGAGTGAAGAGGGGAGATCAGGGCCTGGCCAGATGGAAGGAGCAGCTGTAATACAATGGAGACATACAGAAGTCCCTAACTCCTCAGGACTGTGTGTGTACAGGTCCATGGCCCCAGGGCCCCGCCTCCTCCTGAAGCCCAGCCCAGCGCCTGAGGCCCTGGACACTCAGTGGCACTGCAGGGCCAGCACCCCAGGCAGAGGCAGCCGGGGCGAAGACTCACTGGACGCTGAGCACCGCTCCTGAGCCAGAAGCGCCCCCTTGGCTGGGAGTGGCATCCTCGAGGCCTCCGTTCCAGGCTCTGTTTTCTCCGCTTGCACCAGCTGCTGCAGGGTCTCAAACTCTACGGTCATGTCGGGCGTGAGGAGGTGAGCTGCCTGGAGCAGGGCGTACTGGCGCTGGGCCAGGCTCAGCACTCTCAGGGCCAACCTGGACAGAAGGGGACCACGCTTCAGCTCAGACATGGCCCAGACGGGGTCCTCCACACGCGCCTGTCCCCAGCGCTCCAGGTGTGGTAAGGGCCTGTTCCCCCAGGCTCCTCCTGCCTTGCCCCGCACTCACAGGCTTTCCTGGCCCCCAAGCCACAGCTTCTGCTTTGCCACATCCCTGCTGGCGAGATGACCACAGGAATGGGGGCAGTCTCACCCATTAGCCAAGCCTCTGAACAGAGATCATGGCCCCCCAAACAGGAGGAGGGTGCTCAGTGACCTTGGACCAAGTTCTGCCACCTACTGGCACTGTGACCTTGAGTCAGTTCATTTACCAGAGGGCAGAGGAAGGTAGCTCAAGCCAGGGGGACTGCCCGCTCAGTCCCTGCCCTGTACTTCCCCGCGTGTGAGGTTGGGTGCATGGCATAACCTGTCTCCGCACCCTCTAAACGGGAATAACGAATGTGCACATGCCTCGGGTGGTGGGGGTTAAATGAGTTGCTTTATATATCAAGTGTTTACTGAGTACTGGCACATGGGGCTCGCTGACCACTGTGTCCGTGACATGGGAGTCACGGCATCACTGAGTTAGGTTTAGGTTGGATAAGGCTGTGTGGACCCTGTTCCGAGAAGTCCCTCAAAAAAAGGCCTTTGTTTTTACGGCTGCAATCACGAGAGCATGTATGAATGGATGCCTGCTCTACACGCACGGGGGTGACTGACAGGAAATTATGAGGGTAATGGGATTACTAGTGCTGTGAATTTAGATTCTAATAAAGCAAATTTTCTTTCTCTAAGGCAACCTATGAGAAAAGAATAAACACAATTATCTCAGTGGGGAATGTTCTCGGCAAATCATTTACCCTTAGGTAGCGCTATCTGCTTGGACGTCTCTGAGGCCGTTCCTCGGCCCTCGGTGTGTGCTCACGGGACCCAAGTTCATCTTATAAAGCAGCCTCAAGGCCTTTTTGAAAGGAGGCAGGATGGAAACCTAGTCTGTATCCGCTTGAGTAACACGTTATAGGAAGACTGGACGACTGAGAAAAGTGGGTATCGGAGAAATGCCCTGGGTGGCATGTAGGGTCCCGAGCTGGGCCAGACCCTCTTGCTGGGTGGCCCCAGGTAAGTGCCTCAGTGCCCACCTGGCAAATGGGGACTTGGTCTATATCAGGGTCTACTTCAAGGAACCTGTCAGAGGAGCTTTCAGACGGACAGCTCTGCTTTATTGATCAGATCTGTATAGCAGCAGACTCCATTCAAAGAAAGGATTTTGCAGCTGAGGGAAATTCTGAAAAGCCACCGAACTGGAAAATCTAAGATCTTACTCAGTGCCCTGGTGGTCTCAGATTCCAAATTCTAAAGTCAAAGAAAAATTATTTTCAATTATCTGGCTGTGAGGACATTTCCAAGTATGGAAACTATCTAGTATGTTCTGCAACCCCTAATACTTGGAGTTTTCTGTTACATTTTAGTGGTACTTCAGCTCTAAGAGGTAGGGAGAACAAGGGCTAGGATCTCCAAATTAGAGCCAAGGTTGACGCGACCTGTCAGAGGCCACAAAGCCAGAGGCACAGCAGAAATGAGAACCCTGATGCCCTCTGTCCTCGCAATGGGGGACACCAGGCAGAGAGCCCCTGAGTCATCACTGGCTGTTCCCTGGGGGCCAGGGGACATCCCACTAGTGCATCCCTGCCCTCTCAGGGCCCCAGGGAGTCGGCAGCAGGAGACAGATAATGAGCCGCTGATTATTCAGGCTGCAGCATTTTTGCTGAGTCGGGAACAGACACTCCCCAGCAAGAAACAAAATTAAACAGGCCCTTCTGTCCGGAAGCTTTAAATACACTGCCTAGCATGAAGCGTGCTGGGGAGGGAAGAGTGGGGTTGGCAGCAGCAAAGCTAAGTGGCAGGGGATTTATGTTCTGGGGGCCAAAGGAAAAACACATCAGTGGTGCTCCACAAACAGAAAGAATGGCCCCCAATTTCTCCTTGGTTTAGGGTGGGGTTGTGTTCACTCCTGAGAAGAAATTGCTACGGTGCATGGATGGAAATTCTCGATAAACACCTGACCCAGGGAGGCTCCCCCTGCCTCACGCCCAGCCCCTCAGACCGGAAAGCAGAGCTCTCGCCCAGCAGCCCTGCCCTAGCGCGAGGCTTGCCAGCTGTCTGGAAGGATTTCAGGGCTTTGCTTCCCCTTCTGTTGAGCTGCCAGTTACTTGAGAGAATAAATAGCTGATGATAAGTAAACAGAATAGGTGGTAACATCAAGTTGTTGAAACAGACCAAGGCAATGTCGGAAAAAGACTTGACTCTTACCTGGGGCAGAACCAGAGCTTCTGGGACGCACTTCACACTAACTCTCACCTGGGACCCCACCTTGCACCCCAGAGAAGAGCAGGAGGACACCTACTGCTGAGAGCGGTCCCCATCCAGCTTCTGTGGGGAGAGGTGGCCCACGGCGGTCCTGGGCTGTAGGGTCCGGCCAGGGGACTCTGCCAGCGGGTGTCTGAGGCTCTGCTCTGGCTCCTCGATTGGAACCTAAGGAAATGAGCGGTGAGAGCCAGAGAGCCCAAGATGGCCTCCTCCCTTCCAGAGGCGCTGTCTAAAGCCGGCCCCTCCCCGGAGAAGACGGCTCCTGAACAACCCGGTCCTGGCAGGAGCTTTCTCACCCAGGCGCTCTCCCTGCTGCTAACTCGTGCGCCACGCTTGCAGAGCCAGCGGCTGACAGAACAGTTCTCCTTCCCGCACAGGCCCTGAAGCCTCGTATTGACTAAGATGTGAGGCACCCAGGTGGGAGCTCAGGGGCTGTGAGCGGGGAGGGGCCTCTCCCCCAATGCTCCACCAGCCCCCAGCCTACCTCCTGGCTTTCGTCCTTGTCCTCTGGGGGTTGCTCCAGGTCTGATGAGTGTTGGCCCATGGCCCTCTCCTCCAGGGCCTCTGGCCCCAGGCTCTCCTGCTGAATGACTGTAGAGGCCAGGTGGGGCTCTGGGCAACAGGGCTGGCTAGCAAGGCAGGATGGTGAGGCCGAGCTGGGGAGACTAAGGGGGAAATAAGAGATCTGAGAGGCAGGAGGGGCAGGTGGAGAAAGCAGGGAGGAGTCAGGCTTGTGGCAAGGGTGGTACAATGCCCACAGGGGGCTGCGGCTGCGGGTGGGAGGAGGACTCCGGGTCTGTGGTATAGGAAACAATGGTAGCCACCCCCACCGGCACCTATCCAACACCTTATTTGAATAGCAGATCCTGCTTTCTGGGCAGGGAAGTCATTTACTTATTTGATACAGAGCATTCTAGATGCTATTCGAGGCACAGGGTGGAAACCCTGGACCCCGGGTATCAGAACAGGAGTCCAGGCCCTCCAGAGGCTGGAGGAAGAGGAGGGGTTTTGCTGTGGAGCTGAAAGATATTGGGGTTGGGGGGTGGATGTATGAGCAGAACTCACGGTTGTTGTGAAGGACCTGGTTTTGGGGACTGTTGGGGAGCCTGGGCTCCTGCCTCATACACTCGGAGCTTCTCCCTCAGGGTGGCCACCTAGAACCGAAGCAGCACAGCCCCTCATCACACGAGAGCACAGGCGATAAGGGGGGCCCAGAGCCCTGGCCACACCCCAATGTTCCCGTCTTGCTCTCCTGCCCGGGGCAGGGGGGCGGGGGGGCGGGCTCCCTGCCAAGCTCCCCAGGCAGCTCCTCACCTCAGCCTGGAGCTGCTGGCAGATGGTGGCATACTGGCTGATGTGACAGTCCAGGCTGATCACGTTGCTCTTCAGCTGAGACAGGGGCAGAGGGGAGAGGGGAGAGGTTGCGGTTTATTTAAAGCAGCGGTGGCAGTTACCTCCATGGCACTGTGCTGGGCTCCTCGCTCTCCTGCTTCCCTCACAACAGGATCAACAGGGCAGGGGAGTCCGTGGCTTGGCTGCGATGGCAGCAAGAGACAGGGGTTGCCTTTGAACCCCAGGCCCCGACCCCTAGGCCAATCCTCCGGCAGGCGAGGGGCTTTCCAGCAGCAGCCCCAGGGTGCCCAGACTCCCTGGAGGAGCCCTGCTTTACCCGGGGTTATGTCTGGGTATCTGTGCCGCCTGGCCTGCTGCCAGACAAGTCACTGGCCTACCCTCATTTTGGAGACCACCCTGCTTCTCCCCCAGCTGGGGTCTTCCTGGGACAAGGGCTGGGCCACTTCTACTCCCAAGGATTTCCCTGAAGGACAGGCTGGGGAGCTCCTTCCCTCTGCCTTGTGGGAATACTTGCTCGGGGGCCCTGCCCTGCCCCCTCTGGTCTGGGGACGCCCCCACGCCCAATTGGCTCTTTCAGGTGGGCACGCACCGAGAGTTTGATCTCCTTGGCCCGGTCAGCATACTTGAGGGTGTTGTAAGTGTCCTCATAGGTCAGGCTGGACGGGCTGACGGCGGCGATCATCACGGTGCGGCAGTTGCCCCCAATGGAGTCCTTGAGCAGGCGGGTCAGCTTGCTGTCTCGGTAGGGCACGTGAGACTTGCGGCCCTGGGGGCAGTGAGCAGCGGAGTGAGGCAGCTGGACTAGGTGCATGCAGGTCTGGGGTGGGGGTTGGGCTTCAGGCATGGTCACTACCCCGGGAGCACGTGGGGCTGTGCAGCTTTACCTTGGCATCAGCCAGGGCGTTGAGGACATTGATAAGGGCCAGCAGAGAGCGGTTGATGTTGGCACCCTCCCGCAGGCGCTCCCCCTTGGCATGGGTACTAGAGGCCCGCTCCGAGCCAGCCAGGTCAATCAGACTCATCTTGGCCACTTGAAGGGCTTGGTTCAGGCCTGGAATCCGGTCCTGCTGCTTCACAAAGATCTGGGGACAGATGGCAGGGCTTGGGGTTGGGGGGCTCTGGGTATCTGCAGGCCCGGCTTCTGCTTGGCCCCGGGACCCCTCTCACCTGGAAGATGGCATGGGAGCGGGAGGAAGTAGCATTGGCATCAGTGGGGTGCTGTGTACGGTTCCGGTTTCCCCTGGTCAGCATCTCCAGGAGCTGCTCAGCTGAGGCTGGCTAGGGAGGGGAGGTCCAAGGAAGGGGCTACAGTCTCCCCAGCCAGAACCTTCCCCTCATAGGAAGGGTGATTTCCTTGCTATGACATCACCACAAGATACAGGACATCAACTGCCTGGATCAGGAACCCTAGAAGTGCTCATCCCCCCCAGCCCAAACCCATACCTGGTGGAAGGAAAGTCCTTGCACTACCACCCCCTTGTCGGGGTCCTCACGGATGGCCAGAGGCCCCTTGGGCTCCAGGAGATCATGGATCTGCTCATTGTACACCTGAGGAGAAAGGAAGTGAGGGGGAGGCCCAAGGGTGGGGCCCGGTCTGGAAGCCTCTCCCCTGCAGCTAGGGGGGATGGAGGCACTGCACAGGGGCATTGGGCACTCTGCAAGACAATAATCATCGAGGAGGACTAGAGGGCAGGCCCAGTGTGCGGGCCATCTCTCCTTGAGCTGCAGCTGTGCCTGCCAGACCGCCACTGGGCCCTAATACCCTCTCTCCCATCTGCTCTCCCCACTCCCCTCTCTTCAGGTCCCCGTGACAGAGGGGTAGGGACCAGCCCTACCTCCTGGTAGCTGATGAGGACCTCAAATTGCTTCTCCTCCTGGCGGGCCTCCAGACGCCTGTACAGTTCCATGGTGGTCAGGTACATGATGCCGGGGTCCCCCTCTCGTCCCAGCATGGTGTGTGTCTTCCCGGCCCCAGTGGCTCCGTAAGCAAACACTGAAGTAGGGAGCAGGGTGGCCTGCTCACTAGGAGCTCCCCCGTGCACTCGCAGAGCTCAGCCCTCCACCGCCCCAGTCCCTTGTCTTTGCCTTTGGGTGTCAGTTCTTCCGCGCCTACCCACTCACACCCCTGTCCACACTGCAGCGTCTGGGTTTTCCCTGTCTACATCCCGGCTCCTACCCAGGCAGCCAACGGCAAAGAGGCCTCTGCAGGGGTGGGGCCGGCCCCTCCCTTGGGACGGGCTTCTCCAGGCCAGGAAGCCTCCTCTGAGGAAGGCCCACAATTCTGTTCCTCCTACCCCTTCTCTCTGCTTAAAACACACGCCATGGGTGTGATTTTGCAATCAGTGTCTTCTCCCCGACCCTGCCTCCCACTGTGATATCAAGAGGACAGGAACACATGTCTGTCTGAGCTGCTCTTTGCATCTGGCCCCAGGAGTGCATGCAAGGGCCAGAGCCCTCACGTGCCCACGGCAGGCACAGCCAGAAGGCCCAGGAAGCCCTCGGAAAGGAGCAGGGAGAAAGGCTGTCCCACGAGGGCCTGTCCTCACCCGAGCAGTTGTAGCCCTGGAGAAAGCTGTCCAGGATGCTGTGAGTGGTGTGCTGGAACACGTCCTGCTGGGTGGCCGTCTCCCCGAAGACCCGGTCGAAGACAAACGTCAGGTCTTTACCCTTCTTCTTGGGGCCATCGTGGGTGCTGCCCCATTTCAGGCCAAGGAACCCCCCATCAGACTCCTCTGGGTCGAACACCAGCACCCGCTCATCCACCACCTGAACCACAGGCCGCCGCTGACTCTCCAGCTCCCGTGGGGTGGGGGGCCGCACCCGCACGACCACTCGCACCATGCTGTCCTCCACCGCCATCACCATGGCAACACCTGGGAGAAACAGGATGCGTGACCAGGGGCAGCCTCAGCCTTGCATCTAAGGGGTCCTCCTCCCCTGCCCCCCACATCTGATCTCTGCTTCATACCTCAAGAGAATAAGAATACTGAAACCAGCACCGATATTAATAAATATCTCCTTCTCGCTTGAAATACCACACTTGTCATAGCCAAGTGACTGCATTACAGGAGGCTATTTCTGGGCTTCCTATTGGGTTCCACTGTCTACTCCTGCGCCAACACCATGCTGCTCAAGTTCCCTT